ACAAAAAAAGAACTGAAAGCGTTAACCACGGGAACAAAGAGCCGACTGAGAAAGAACAAGGGGACAAAGAGAGACAACTGGGAGCAGGACCCATCACAAAACGCACTGCAAGCTTCTTCCGAAACAGCTCCGGCCTCTCGGCTACCGGAGCCTCCATAAGTGGCAGCAAGTCAGAGGGAAATGGACAGGGAGCGCGCGCCTGAGGCGGTCTGCCTAACAGCAACGCTCTGACGCTGTTGTTGCTAGCGTCTGCGCCGTCACTGCACAGGAAGCACGCAAGCAAAAATAAGCTGTGCTCAAGCAAAACACGGCGAGACTGTAGTGAAAATAGGGATATATATATATATATGTATGTGGATAGATGCACAGGAACGGAAGAGGCAGCGAAACAGAACAAAGGCACATCGAAAAAACAGATTCGGAAAAAAGGCAGGAGAGATGAAGAGGAGACGCGGCAAGAGAAGAAAAGCACAAAGTCTTTGGCACACAGGCGCACAAGGTCGTGCAAAAAAGCATTCATGCGTTGCAAGCAAGGATGTCATGCGAAGCCCACAGAAGCCTCCACAAACAGCACGTCACAAAGTGGTAGGACAAATAAAAGCATGCACACCGAGAAATGTCTACTTCTTGGTTTTTGAGACTGTCTGCCTGTAAGAAAAGGTCTCGCGTGCCATTCCTTCCAGTGGAGCTAAAGACGGCAGGAGGACCATCGCCCTTGCCTGCTGCGCCTACACCTGACGCTGCAGCTGCTGCTGAGAGTGATGTGGAGTCCTGCTGCTGTGTGGTCTCTGGGTTTTGCTGTTGTTGTTGCTGCGGCTGATGTTTTTCTGACTGTTGTGAGCCGCTGCGAGAGAAACTGTCCCGCGACGAGATGCGCCGTCGCATTGACTGGAAGAGTCTGAAACGTCCACAGGAACAACGTCAATTGTAGCTATTGAAATTTTAAGACGTAAAGTGCAGAAAGCGAGGAAGCCTCGCTCTGCAAGTAATGCAGCCGCATTCGTAGCAAGACGCATTAACACGCAGGCAGCTACATGTACGTACGTAAAAAAGGCACGCACGGGGACGCCACGCACATACACCAACAGAAGCGAAAGGAACACAGAAAACAATAGATGGGCAGAGCAATGGCGCCACAAAAACAAAAACTAGAACAGAACAAAGGCAGCAACCCAAAGGTACAGCAAACGGGAAAGGCCCAGAATATTCGATGATGCAGCAGACAGATATTCCACATTTCGAACACGTAGGCAGACAGTCGAAGTACTTTAAAGTTACTAGAAAAGCCTACTTCATCTTCAACATGCGCAGACAGGTTGAAAGCCGAGGCGTAGAAAAATGACGAGCAGCACCCAAACTGGCTGCAGTTGCCTCAAGGTCCCGCATACATGCGCAGCAGCAGCAGTGATGGGGAAGTTACTTTTCGCCCATTAATTATCCTTTCTGAAGAAATGACAACCAAACAACAAATTAGAGATCTCGATAATATGGGCAACGCACGAGCTGCCTCTATTCAGTACTCAACCAGCCAAATTACATTATTCTGCTTTTCGACTATCCCGTCGTCTCCGTTATAGTAGCTTAGCTTGTGGGGCTCAAAAATTTGGTCGCAAAAAGTGGTACACTCGAAGAGGCCATAGGCACGCTTGTCCCATTCTACAAGATAAAAAGAACGGGTGATGTACTTGTCTCACCTGGGGTCTCACGCTCGAGGCACCGAACACAAGCAAAGATTACTGCTGCTGCCCTCACGGATGCGGTTTTTGTTGTTTCCGCTACTGCTAGTCCTTCTGCTATGGTGCTGCTTCGTTGGTTTTCCCGCTACTACGAAGGTTGCCGTTGAGGCTGCTGTTGATGATGCAACAACTGTTTTCAGTCGAGCTCCTGTTGGCACTGCTCAACCTCTATCAATAACAGTGTGTTTGCGCGTCTTGTTGCCACTGGTTTCTTCCTCCTGCTGAAGACGACGGTGATTTTCTCTTGAGAGGGCAGCAGCGCGCTGGCGACTTCGGTAGGGGTGCAGCGAAAGACAAGTAAGCGTGAGGGCGTTTGGAGACCTCCTGAAGCAGTAAAACTGCTGAAACGGGTGGTTTTGCTCTAAAGGTTCTCTCTTTGTTGCTATAGCAGCAAAAGAATGATGGACGCGCAGCAGGAAGTCTGCTGCTGAGCAGCAGCTTCAGGAAGACGGGCTGATGAGCCGCATGCGCGAAGAAGGACCTCTAACGAGGCCCTGAAGAGTAGACAGCAGGGTCATTCTAAGGTGCAGAATATCATGCAGAAGAAAAAGAAGCAGGGCAGACCCTGAGCTGCGTGAAGTTCCAGCGGCACTCCCTTGCTCAGTCGTTCTTACGCTTTTCTCAAGCCCTTACGGGAACCACAGATGCAGTAAGAAAATCCTCTAAAAGCTTATTCGGAAGTTTTAACCTGCTGGAGGAAAGAAACAGCAGCTGGACATGCAGTCAGGCCCCGGATCCCGCTTTCTACACTCTGTTCGGCTGGAAGACGGGTCGCAAACCCTCAAAAGCTTTGTTGCTTTTATAAATCAGATGACCGAGCACTGTGGCTACTAAGCAATAACAAAATGTATAGCCAATACAACCGAAGACTAGGAAGCAGCAAGGATGGCGATCGCATGTGCCTTGCTTGGGCTGGTGGCTGTACCGATGTACGTACACACTGGGTTTTACAGAAGATGGGCTACATCTAAAGAATTAGTTTTCTACAGTGCATTTTAACTCCTCAAAGGGCTTGACGAAGCAGTGCAGTCAACCATATCCCACAGGAAGCTAGGGAAGACTGCCCCCGCACGCATTCTCAACTGTTTCCGGTTGCGACCACTAGTGTTTCTTGACTGGTTTTCAGACACCAGAGGTTCAATAACTATCTTTTCAGGATGGGAGGCTTTCTACACCGCACATGAATAGCAGTAATGGCAGCGTTTTCCTGACTACTCCAAGTGTACCTGTACAGACGAAAAATGTGTACACGGACTACCACTTGAAGGAAATCAAAGCAGCAAATAAATCAGCAAGTCCATGAGCCATAACGCTTGTGTTCCATTCTCTCTGAGAATATGACTCAGCTAAAGCTGCGTAAGAAAAACGCCTACGGTTCAGACGAGTTTCAGCGGTATTCGGGAGTTGCGCTGAATTATCTTACTTAATAAGTTAACAAGGCTTTTATGGGCAGCTTCGTGCGAACTGACCTAGGACTGGCTAGAGTCTGGAAAGAAAAAGAAGGCAGCATTTAGTGACCAGGACGGAGAGAAGTTAGTTTCATCCGGTTTTCAGGAGTACGGGATAGGGAAGCGATGACACAAATTGATACCATAAGGTTAAAAGAACTTCACCCACTGTGAGGCGTAGAACTGGCGAGGGAATGCATATGAAAAATGGCCCCATAGGCAATACCCTTTGCAAACACAAAAACACCTGATGAAGGGAGGGATACTGGACGCATTTCCAACAGCCATTGTCCCAAGGGTGATGCAAACTCCTGCATTTCCATTTAAACAAAAACACTATTAAAGCATTGCATACACTGTGTCCAGAGTGGAGGCCCTGCTTAGGTTAACGCTAAGGAGCGTGGCGAAGCCCTAAGGCCGGGTTGTTACAATCCCCTTCACCGGTATCCCTCTTTGTCAACGTGTAAGATGCCGTTGATGGTGGCTCTGGAATATCCCATGTCCTATCCATACCAGTCGCAACTGTTCAGAAGCCGCGCATGCGCCCCGTCGAGCGTACACGAGGGCCTGGCAACAGCGTGGATCAATAATCAAGTAACAAGTTTAGGTTAGCACAGGAGACAATGCGCAGGAGGCATTTGGGCTAGTGCCCTTCTCCAAACTAACTCCATTTACTTGTAATTGTTCTCCCATGAGGTGAGCAGTTCCACTTTAGCTGGTGGAGAAAGTGCTCTGCACGAGACCTTTTGGTGAGGGGATCTCTGAATGGCCTTAAGAGGCTACACAACCCATAAATTTGATGCAATGGTTTGTCGCAAAGAGATGAAAAAGGTAAAAACGGACAGGCGGACCGAGATTATCAAGGCGTTACATCAGGGGGAGACAGCTGCCTACGAGAAGCTTAGCTCTTCAGCGTGATGATTTGAGGGATTTTAGGCATATGCGAAAAGACATGTGCTCCGGGGTAGGCCTCACATCAGACTCTCAGTCTTCGTGAAAGCAGTAAAGGCTCTGCATCCTCTCCGCGCCAAAGTTGAGGGCTGCAGAATGCGTCGGAAAAAAGTGCCAAGTGCCTCAAAAGTCATCTAGGTGCGCTCTCCAAGATTCGTCTGAATGGCACCAGTGTAAACTCGCTGGTGAGTATTTTATCTCTGTAAAAGGAAAATCTACGCAAGGTGTCTTCCAAAGGAGAAATGGATGAGTACTGCTCTCGAGCATTTGACACTTCGAGGTAATCGAGATATTGAAGGGGGTAGATGCCAGCGCATCGAATAACTTCGCCACATCTACACCTTCCCTATGCTGCGACGAGCAGGAATTTTCTGTTTGTTTTTGATGGCTTCTGTGATGTGGCTACATAGCCCTGGAGGACCGATGTGATGATTTTGCGAAGAAGAGCCCCCAGCGATTTAATCTGCAGCACGAACAAGGGCTGTTTCGGCCTATCAAAAAGCGCTGAGCATTCAGTGAATGCGATGCGTATCACGCCTTAGAGAAACGTTCCATATTGCCTTTCGAAAGCCCCAGTCTACCCTCTCAACTAATGCAGGTCTACTTTTCCGGCTGTTTACCATTCGCTGTGCGTGCCTGCCCTAACTGTCCATTTAGCTGGCTGTTTTCCTCTCTGGCTTCACTTTTGTGCATGTCTACCGAACTTCACTAAACTTAAGGGCGACTCATCCCTAGACTGTCCAAAAAAAACATGGCATACCCATCGAGCTCCGAAAAAAGCTTCACTTAAAACAAAATGAGAAGCGGGGCGGGCAACTTTCTGTTGGCGCATGCCCTGTAATAGTGGGCAAGCAACACGAAACGGTTACCCTGCTGTAGTCTCGGGGTGAACAGGCAAGACCTTCGTCACTTCTATCAGCTGTTGTCTATTCCTTTTATCCTTTGCAAACATTCGGAGTTCCTTCACAAGAGACAGCTCGATCCCAGGAAGAGCCCGAGTCCAATCTAAACTTTGCTCAGATCGATCACCCGTTGGGCTGTGTAGGCCCTGTAACGTCGCCGGAGACTCGTGACCATCTAAGTCGCGGGAGACCTGAGGATCCTCAAGCATCTGTAGGTCTTCAAAGCCCTGTGATATCTGTATATTCTGCGGGGTGTGCAACATTGTTTTACAGCCAAGTGGGTGCTGCGAGTCCTGGGATGTTTGTGGGCTGGCTACGACTTTTGGGGTCTCTTGAGGGGTTTGGTCGTTCTGTAGGATTCGGTCTATTGGGCAACATGCGTTGAGATTGTCTAGGAGAGCCAAAAATCCACCAATGGTCCTAACGTGATGTGACACAGCAGCTGCAGCTCTCCTGCCCATGCCAGGGATGCCCAGGGCGAACAGCAGCTGCTGTAACGGCACACCACGGCCTTGAACTTGCTCTATCTCTTTAAACAAAGCGTCGCGAGCCTGAGGTCCCCACCCAGGCCAGCCTGCAATGCCACTCTCTCCGGCTGCTGTCCTTTGCCTGTCCACCTGAGGTAAGTGGAAAGCATCACTGGGAGCTTCCAAGTACCCTCGGCTTATGAGGGCCTCCAGGGCACGTGGTCCTAGCCCAGCCACCGCGACACCCTCGCGTGAAAAAAAACGACGCAAACGCAGCAGACGTTGAGATGCACATGCCCATCCACCAGGGCACCACAGAACACCGAATGCCTTGCCCCCTCTTCCACCTTCGCCTTCTCCTTTTACAGCCTCTTCTCCGACAAATGTACGAACAGTGGAAGCAGCAGGAGTGGCTACCGATACTTTAGGTGCGCTGCACACTTCACCTCTTCTGTCACTTCTGTCCTTCGCTTCTAGTCTCTGCTTGCACCTTTTTGGAAGCTTGCCCGTAGGCGATGACCGCTCTATCAAGCCCCGGCCACAGGACGGGCAGGCTGAAGGGAGTGGGACAGGCTCTGTCCCTTCCTGCCTATTCTCCAGATCCACCGCAACTATGTGGGGTACAGATTCCCCCTTCAACTGTAAGTGAACCCGGTCCCCAACTCTGACGTCTTTTCTTCGCACTTCCTGTGGGGAGTGCAAGGAGGCTCTCCCAACCAAAACTCCCCCCAGCAAAACTGGCTGCAGCAACGCAACCGGTGTGCATACACCTGAAGACCCAACGGTCCACTCGATCCCTAAAACTTTTGTCTTGGAAACCGTTGCTGCGAATTTCAAAGCAAAGGCCCAGCGCGGCGCTCTCGCAGTGCTGCCTAGGCGCTGATGCAGCGGCAGCGAATTAACCTTAAACACCACACCGTCACAAGGGATATCTTCCAGCCGAAAGGAACACTTCGCTGCTAAACTAGCGCCTGCCGCACGAGTGCTGCTTGCTCCAGCGGAGCGTTCACAAGCCGCATCGGACACATCAGACGTGCCATCGCCAAAAAGTGCCGAATTAGTGACACCGCCGCCAACAGATGCTGGGTTGATAGCACCGCCGCCAAGAGGCGCTGAATCTGCATTACATCCGGGATGACGGCTGGCGCCATCAGCATGTAGCGCACCAGCAATAGCAGCGTGAAGAGCTCCAAGGTTTGACATATATATTTCATGACTTCGGCTTTGCTTACTGAAGGCTTCCAGAGCGTCTTTGCGTCCGACTACCAAAAGACAGTGTGGCAACAACACCTCAAACCCCCATTGCTGGAGCCGCTGCAGAAGCTCAAGTTGCGTGGTGACTCCAGCAACAGCATTACCCGCCGCACTTGCAGCTGCAGCTACTGCCGATATACTGCCTCTGTGAGTTTCCTGATGGTCATCCGGGTATCCAGACAGTGCACCGTCCGATGCCCCAACCAGAGCGTAAGCACAGAAACGAATGGCACAATTTGCCTCCTCCTCAAGACGCCGCAGCATGCCCACAACGGCATGCCTGCGCCACCAACAGCAACACAACAAAAGCAGTAGCAACAGAACTGAGTGTGGTAACAGTACCCGGCTACGCTGCCTTTTTGTGGCTGCACCTGTATCTCCGCATTTCACACGTCACGTCTCTTTGTGTTGTCCACATGTATCTTTGCATTCTTTTCGAATATATACGTGGTGCCAAATATCTAAGCAAGCCTCTCGAACCAGGTTTTCAACTATCTTTGCCAGTCTGCTCCCACGCATTTGTGTCCGTCTCTCTGTATCAGTATCTGTTAAGTTGTCTCTGTACACTAGCGCGTATCGACGCTATGTTTTATGCGTTGCCTTGCCTTGGGGTCGAAAACGGCTTCAGTCCCTCCATCATTCTTCTTTTATTTAGTGCAGAAAGCGCAGATAAGCACATGTAGGCCTCGCCCCTCACCTCTAGCGTACGCGGCACGCCAAATACCCCTTGTGCCGCACTCGGTGCTGCTGCCACTGCAGTTGTTGGTGCACTAGTTGCTGTCCTTGTTTCCTTTGCATAAGGAACATCTATTACGAGAGGGAGAGAACCCGTATGCGCCATCTGCAGCGCCTTCTGCGTTATGCTTTCACCCCGCCGTCCGTCGCCCCTCGTCAGTGCCCTCACCAGCCTGTAACGCAGAATGCCTCTGCCAGTATTGTCGCCGCTATTGGTGTTGCTACTGCTAAGTTCATATGTGAGAGATACGCTCTGTCCGTCCACTTTAGGCTCCATCAGCAACGCCTCAGCAAATACATCCCCTTCAGCAGCAGCATCCGTTGCGGCAGGCACTGCAGTTGTGGGCTCTGCTGCTGCTGCTGTAGCAGGAGCTGCTGCAACTGACTCATACAAAATGTCTGCAGTATTTGTTTCTGTTGTAGCTTTTAGTATGTATTTGCGCCTTCGACTTCTTCCCACGGACGTCCTGAGCACCCCGTGCAAAGCCTTTCCAACAAATCTGGAACAGCAGCAGGAGCAGAAGCAACGCAGAAGCACGAACAGCAAGCTAGCGAATGCCTTTGGGGACCGTAGGGTGCTCACATGCTTCTTCAGTTGGCCCTACGTCAAAAGTCTAGCCGAAAAATTAACAGGCCTTACACCCCAGACCCCGGATGCGTAGGTTTTAACCGCAAGCCCTACACCTCCCGTCGCATGTTTACCTGTCGAGTCGATCGAAAAGGGCATTGGCCTCTCCAGGCGAATGAACGCTTTCCAGAGATAGCACCGGGGACAGATGCTGTAAGTTTGCTGGTGCTGTTGCTGCTCCCAGGTTCCCGTGGCCGATGCACTGGAGAGGGCTGCTGGGGCCGCCAAGTCCGGGATACTTCTGCAACAACAGGCAACCAATAAAAACTGGTAGGAGCGTGTGGCAGCACTAAATTGGCGAGGTACAATCAGGTTCAGCAGCAGCACTGGCGTCAGCTGAAGTAGCATGGGCAAAAACGTTGAGTGAGGATTCAATCAGTTATTCCGTTGAGTTGGAGCTGTGTAACGCCAGCAGGCGCTTATAACTCCGGCTCCCGTTTTACACTGCCCTTTGTTTCTGCGGCAGCTCTTGCTGCGCTAATGCCACTACTGCCTTTACTGCTACTGCAGTAACTCCTGTTGTTGTTGCTCCTCTTGTCATTGCTGCTGACCTTTTCCAGTTCGCCTAACCGCAGCCACAAAGCGTCAAACTCTTCATCTGAGGCCAACGGCTCTCCCCCTGAATAGTAGGCCTTATTCAACTCATTGATTTTACTGCACAGAAGCGTGTGGGCAGCAGCAGCTGCTGCTTTCCCTGGCGCTGCTACCAACGCTGATACTGCTTCCCCCGTTGCATTCGCTGCAACAGGAGCATTCGCTGCTAATGTTGCGGCCGCTACATCCTCAGTATTGCGCCTGTTCTGTGCAGCCCCTCCAAAAACAGGGGCCCCATACAAATATCTCGTGCTGGTGGCTTTGCTGCCTCTCCAGTTGCCGCAGCTGGCTTTACTACTGGTGTTGCTCCTCAGCATTGAATGTAGCCCGTGCCACCTCAAGCACGTCATCACAGTGGCTATGGAGAAGCCAGTAGCTAAGGAAGGCTGGTTCCGCTGCTGCTTTGGCGGCTGCTGCTCTGCCATAGTTCGGAACAGCCTGCTGCACGAAAACGCACCAGCAGACGCTCCGCTATTCCTAAAGGCAGGGGTCCGCATGTCCAAGAAAGCCGCCGATGCTGCCTCGATGCTTCTGGCTCTCAAACGGCAATTTGTTGGTAGAATGAGCCGTTGCAACTTGTGCTCCATGCTTTCGGCAGGGCAGCTAGGGTGGTGGATAGCAGTAGCAACGACCTTGCTGCAGTGCAGCAGCAACAGCATCTGCGACAAATGATAAACTCGCGAAACTAAAGAGTCCTGCATTTGGCTCGGCCTTCGCTGCTACACCTGCCGGCGCCGCAGCAGGCGTTTTACTCTTCTGCGTAGAAGTCCTTCCGTTAAAATATGTTTGCTCCCGTTACAGCAGGCTGCGCAGCTGCTATTATTATTGCTTCCGCCGGGGTCCATGCTGACAGTGAAGCTGCAGGTCGTCAGCCCGTATTTATGCACCATTCCTTCAATATTCTAAGGAATCCAGAGAAACAAATCGCCTTGACAGCTCACACATGCGCCGTGCCTGCAGTTGTTTCAGCTGCGCCCTGACTGTTGTGTGCGTTCCCGATCCATTCTTTCGGGTCGACCTCTCATGTCGCTGTTGTGTGCTGTTGTGTTCTTGTTTGTTATTGCGAGTTCGTCTGTACTGTTCCCCCTGCTGCTTCTGCTGCTCCAGATGAACTGTCCATCTACTTCTTCGCAAGATCCAAAGAAACTGAGCCACACTCATACTGAATGCAGAGCAGCATATCTCTTGGTGATGCTGCTTTTGCTGTCCCCGAAAGTATGCCAAATTGATCTCAACGCGACTCAATGCAGAGGAGATCTGAGAATAGAAGTTCCCGCGAGGCCGCCGATGCCGGCCGGTGGCAACTGTTCAGGAACTCTACAATAATGCAAAGACTTCATTATACAGCCCATGCCGGTTTTTTTGCAGTCTTAGTTCTGTTGTTCTTTTTAGCGGCGGGTTGCATGTGTTGGGGCTGCAGCCCCTGGAAGTGGGCCCCACAGCAACTTCTTCTGTTCTGAATCGGTGGCACATTTCTTACGTAATTTAGTACCATGCCGCAACCGAGGGAGAAGTAGCAGCAGGAGTAGGAGCGGGTTGTTCTCTTCTTCAAGGGTGTCCCCAGCACTACGGGGCTCCCTTGAGGGCTCATCGCTGCTTTTGTTGCCTTCGTCACCGTTCTTCTACACGCTTTCTTCACAGTATGTTTTCTATTTACAGATTCAACCAGCCTATCCTGCAGGTCCTCTCCAGACATGCCCAAGAGGTAGTACCCTCCACTGCATCCCCTGCGGGAGCGGCTGCTAATGGAGCAACTGCGTCTCGTGCAACAATTCCTGCTACAGCTTCTACTCAGCCCACCAAATCTCCTGTGACCAGATGCTGCGGTGGAAATACTCACTGCTGCAGTGTGACACCAGCGTCTGCGAGGAGCTGCAGGAGCAACACCTCGTGCTGCAGTATTGCTAGCCAGCTGCCCGAAGACGAAAGCACTAACTGCTTCTGCTTGAGCAATGCATCCTCTCAGCAGAATGGCAGTGGAGATGATTACATCCGCAATAGCAGCCACAGCTGCAACAACAACAGCGTGGACTACCAGATTTGGTATGACCCTGAGGGCCGACTGTGTGAAGGCCTGGCCCTGCTATTCTCTCAGCAACTTCAGGCGGCGCTTAACCTGGATCACCAGCAGCCGCAACAGAAAATGCGAAATTTGTCGCACCAGAGTTCACAGCGACACGATACGACATCACTAATTGTAGAGGGCCTTTTTGCTGCACAAATGATGAACAGCAGCAGCCGTTGTGGATCAGTTACAGCTGAGTTGGGCGGCCACCAACGGCAGCATCAGGTGAATACACTAGCAAGAACAACAGCGTTGGCTGTAAAAGGCGCAACTGTTTCAACACAGCCACTCAGTGGCGTGACTCTAGAGGTCCTGCTCGATGTGTGTCAAGGCCTTACCAGAAGCAGCGAAACACGTAGGCCTCCCATGCGAGATGTGTGCGTGTTCCTATTTGTGGAAACTGTAAATGGGAGCCTAATGCCGTTCTCTGCTGCCTTCGCTTCTGAAGTTGCTGGAGCATTGGCAGATAGAAGGATTATGCAACATCCCCTCAGCGGATGCGCTATCTCGCTCGTTTGTTGTGATAGAACGCCACCAGTAACCGCAGCACCAGCACCACCGACGTCAGCTCGTGGGGAAGCAGGCCGTGGTTTTGAGAAGCACCAGCAAGCTCAGGCTGAAAGGGGCGTCACCACTTCTAATGCAACAGCAAGAGGGAACAGTTTTAGCAGCAGAGCCAGTAGAATAATCAAAAAGCTTGCAGGGAACTTGGTGAAACTCGGATCAAGCTCTCTTCTGCAGAAGCAACAGCAGTTGTTGTGCTTGACATTAGGTTCGAATGCTGCTCTGGCAACGACTGCCAGGAAGTATTGTCAGTGGGCAGACTCTGCGGTGGAGCTTGTGCTTCAAAGGCAACAGCAGCAGACAGCAGCAGGACCAGCAAGCCAATGCAGCGACACTGACACATCTAGCGTGTCAAGTGCGTGGATGTTCAGCAGCTCGGATGATGAAGAGCAGCTGCAACTGGGGTATTCGGGTAGCTGTGGGGCTTTGCCATCTGACGTGGAAGACCTGGTAGACTCATCACTGCAGCCTCGCACACCCTCAGCAGCACCAGCATCAACGGCACCGGCAAGAAAGGCCACGGACGCTGAAATATCTGGCTCACCTGAGCAGCTGACTCCTCGTCTTCGAAAGAATTTGAGCAAGGAGGGTTACAAGCTAGTGGGCACTCACTCAGCAGTGAAGCTGTGCCGTTGGACACGGTCGGCTTTAAGGGGGCGTGGCGGCTGTTACAAACACACATTTTATGGAATCAAGTCCTTTGGTTGCATGGAGTTCACCTCCTCTGTCGCCTGCGCGAACCGCTGCCTCTTCTGCTGGAGGCACCACACAAATTTGGCAGCAGGTGACTGGAGGTGGAAGGCAGACGATCCGCAAGACGTACTTCATGAGGCAATGGATAAACACCTTAAAGCAATCAAGGAACTCAGAGGTAGGCGGCCACTGCCTTCAACAGCATCAAAAGCGGCAGGTGCTTCTTGAGCACGGCTAGCTTCATCATCGTCGCGCTGCGGCTGCAGCGGATATACAAGACGTGCACTGTTCAAACTGCCGTAGGAGAAATAGGTAGCATTTCTGCATTGTTAATTGGCGTTCTCTATTCCCGTTCATAGACTCGTCTTAGCTTGTTGCACTGTGGCTTTTTTTCATGCAACCGTTCGTCACAAGTTTTTCGTCGTAGTCTTTTTCATTTTCAGCTTCAGTATTTACCCTATATTTTTTGCTCTACTTTTTGGTTTATTTCGCGCGTTTGTGTCGCTTGCAGGTCTTCCTGGCTTGCGTGACGACTTCTACTACGAAGTTAAAGACCAAATACTGCACTGCGCGCTTTCATTGGTTGGGGAACCAATCATGTATCCCCGCATCAACGAGTTGCTGCACCAAATGCATCAAAGGCGCATATCTACTTTCCTTGTATGCCCGCAAGAAGCGTTGTTTATCCCACTCGTTTCCTGCCGCCGTTGCTCCTGCTGTTGGGGCCACCGCTACTGCTGCTGCTGTGTGTTACCCCGCTGAAACTCGACGGAAAATGCTCCCGTCTTTCTTTTCAGGTGACAAATGCACAGCACCCAGATGCTTTGCGTGCCCTGCGCCCCGTCACGCAACTTTATCTTTCGATCGATGCAGCAACAGAGAGCGACCTTAAGCGACTAGGCAAGACCGTCATCCCAAGCCCTGTCGCCGTCTTTGTGTCCGAGTGTGCCTCTGTATTCTCGATTTGTGTCTTTGTTTGCGTCTTCATATTTCTATTTCTGCGATTCTTTCCCTCTCTGCTGAACTTCTCTTGTTGCTGGAGATTCTCTGTCTCTCCGCCGTTTGTCTACTTCCCTGTTTCCTGATCAGTCGCAGTGTCTGCTTGATTGTCTCCCTCTATTCCCTCGCTTCTGTCTGTATCTGTCTCCTGTTTTTAGTGGCAGCTTTTCCTGCCATCGTTTTTGTTTATTTAAAAACTTGGGCACGCAATGCATAAGCGGTGGGAGAGAGAAGAAGCAGGCGCGGTTTGTGGGACCTAGTTCTGGGTTACGCGCATGGTTGAATGCTTGCAGACAAGCCCGTACACCGGGACTCGTGGTTGCGTTTCCTGAGTTGTATAGACATTCTTAAGACGAAAAAGCAAAGGACAGTATTCAGGTTGACGCTTGTTCACGGTTACAACTGCATTCTAGGGCCTGTTGGAGACGCTGGCGCCAGTGAGCCGGCGAACAACCGCAACGCCGCCAGCAACAGCGGTAGCAGTACAAGTAATACGAAGTATGCCAAAGGAGTGACGAGCACACTTGATAAATACGCTTCTTTAGTGCTACGAGGCGAGCCTGACATGATTGAAATTAAAGGAATGACATTTTGCGGTGGCCTTGACAGGGAGTCTCTGTCAATGCAAAATGTCCCGCGACACCAGCAGGTAACCCCTCGTTCGCACAGCTCCTCTCCACTTCACTTTCATTTCTCACGTATCCTGAGCAGGAGTTTTAAACCATCGGCGAACTAAAGAGTTGCCGTAAATGGCCAGTGGCACTGCATTTGCCTTAGATACATCTGCATTTGCCTCCCTTTGTCAGCCTCTGTGTATGTTGTTCTGTTGCTCACCCGAGGTGTCTGTCATCATGGTGGGGCAGGCAGGGATGTGGGGCTTATCGTAGGTCTTGGCATTCGCCGATGGCCTGAGACGGGCACTGCCAGAGGGTCTTTATGGATTGGCCTCGGAGCATGAGCACTCTTGCTGTGTTCTACTGGCGAACAACAAGTAAGTCTTCTCCGTCCACTTTAGTTATCTGATCGATTTTTCTGTCTGTGCATATTTCTCTATTGTCACCTGCGCTCCTAAATTTGCTTTTTTGATCCGTCATGTCCTGCATCATTTGGCTGCCGTGAATTCCTCGGTGTATTTATACGTTTTTTGCCCGTATTTTTGCTCGCTTGTCGGCTCGTTAGTGTTGTATTTCTTCGTTGCGACGTGCATTCGGCTGTTCCTTCGGCTTGACAGGAATTACTGACGGATATGGTGTTGCCTTCAGGTACTTCTATAAGGGCCAGTGGCACACGTGGATTGACTACCCCAAATTTTTTGATCTGGTGTGTCCCTCTGTTGTCTCTGCTCTGCTGAAGAGGCGTAGTCACAGTGTATTCCGTGCAAGCGAAGCTCACAGTTCTCGCTGTGTCTCCCAGATGTATTTAACAGCCAGTATTTGCGTCCTTACATAAAATAATGTGCATCGGCTCTCAACTGCAGGTAGGTGTGTGAATTCAAATATGCATGGAGTTTATCCGTGCATGTAAATTGATACTTTTGCACTTATGGATGCATGCGTGCGCACGTACACTTACCTGCATGAATGCATATTTTGTGCATATGCATGAACACCGACATGTGTTGCTATGTAAAAGCCAGTGACAGTGTGTGGCACTGTGGACTGTGAATCTCTCATATGCGCTGTTTTGTATCTGCGCTTGATGGATTTGTAATAAGGCGCTGAGCGGGGATCTAAACTTCAGTGGCATTGACTACTCGGCGGCCACACCATCCTGGGCCATCTTTGGAGCCGAAGGTCGCGGGTTCGATCCCCAGCAAAAGCGGTAAACTTCTTTCGTGGCCTCCATAATCATGCGTTTATTTTGTGTACGTTTGTGCAAGCACTTGCCGTTCCTCTGTAGGCACTTTCGTGTTGGGTTGATGCATGCACTGCCATTTTGAAGCAAGGACATCAATCGAGAAGGAATGCTTGTGCCTTCCAAACTGTTGCTTCGCGTGCACAGTTTTCTTCAGGAGGCAGGATACACTTGGGCCTCCCCATCCTTGCCAGCGTTTTTGCGTGTGTATGCTTGCAAATTAAAGCATATTCGTAAGTAGGTGTTCCACATCCTCTTATGATGAAGTGCGCTGATATGTATGAGCTTTTCGTTGGCGGACGCAGGGTATTTGGCAAGGGCCGTAGGGGGAAAGAGTTGGAGCTCTCTCAGCAAACATGACAAGAAGAGGGGACTAGGAAAACGAATGTTTTGGAATGTTTTGGAAGAGGACAGACCAAAGGCAGACCGCGTCTGGGAGGACTGCGTTGCCCGCCAGCAAATGTACTACTGCAAGCATATCGACTTGTGTGATGCGGACAGCACATGCATACACGTGTGTAGCAGGTTTCCTTGTAGGTTGCAAGCACGTTGTAGCAGTGCGTGCAGAACATTGGCAATACTGAGTGGACCATGTATTCCGCTGCCTTTTAAACGTACACTAACCTTGGAAAGCCCTACTTCTATTGGGAAGAGTTGCCCACTGCATCGCGAGCCGAAACATGCCATTGTTATGCTCCGTCACGAGGAAACCCCACAGGGACTACAAAATGGGATGTAAAAATAAGACTGAGGTGGAGAATGGAAGTAGCAGCTTGAGACCGACACAGAAAGCACAGACAGCGGCGAACGATTACGAAACAGTCCCCACCAGTTCGCACTTCAGTGTGCAGAAAGTAGAATACGAACATAGGAGAACGCAATTCCGAACTTTTGGCCGCAGAGAGCTTAAAATTGCAGATGAACCTAGGAAAGATGGACGACCTATATATGCACGTGTGATTTCCAGCGGTCTCTCCAGTGCCCTGAGGTATTTGAACAGACAAGATAGAGAATCAACGGACGCCCGCATTTTCCTATCGGCAGTCCACCCTTGCTCGCGGAAAGTTGACAGCAACGGAGAGGCGTTTTCAAACTGGAGGTTTGCGTCCCTCGGACGCTCCACCACCAACTGTCCTCTCTGCTTTCTCCCTTTCGCCACTGATTTTCTCTATCCCGTTATCCTTTCCCTTAACTTGTCGGTTGACCTCTTCGCTGTCTTCCACATCTTCTCCGGGGTCTTCCTCGCTCTTTGCCGAGGTGTTTGTATTTTCACTTTCCAGCTCATCCACATCTCCTGCTAGCGCTGCCCTGCTGCTGGGATGGTTCCTCGCTGCTGTTGCTAGAGCTCCGCTCGCTTCTAGTACTGTAGCTAACACTGTAGCATGCTTGACCTGTGCTTCTGTTTGCGAGGCAAGAGAGCTATGGCTGGCACTGGCGCTAGCGCCTTCGGGAGAGGGTGTTGCGCCAGCATGGGCCTCCCGTTCCATTGCCGAGGGCGTAGCAGATATATCAGCCACACCAGCAGAAGAGTGCTTGTGTTTAGCGATCAGTTGTCGCATTTCACCTTCTACCTCTGTTTCCAGCTCGGCTGCCTGTCGGCTTTCAAACTGGCGCACTTCGGCTTCCGCCTCGAGCAAATCGTGCTGGATTTCCTCAAGGGTTGCCACGCGCGCAGGCTGGGGGTGTTTGTCTTGGGCTGTTGCTTCTTCTGGTGGTTCTGCTGCTGGCGCCAATCTGCGACATTGACAAAAGCATGCCATGTGAATTCCTCTGTTCTCGTTCGCTCCTTAATTACCGCTCGATTGTCCTCTCCAAACTGCATTTAGCGCGGCTCAAAAGCATTAAGATGAGAGAAAATTTGGAGCTTTCTGCAATATTTACCGTTCTACATCGCCCTCGGGCGTCTCCTGGGGCCTCTCAGCTTCTAACACCTCCTCAAAAGCACGTCGCCGAGGGGTGTACAGGCAGATCCTCCATATACAGCCAATAGAGTAGGTCGTAATAGTAGCACGCTACCTCAGGTGGTTCTCGCGCCACTTTCGCTTCGGAGGGAGGCAAGCATTTTATGGGTTCTACCCGAGTCCCAGACCTCACCGCGACCGGCAATGCAATTGCTGGCCGCTGTGGTTGGGCGGGCTTCAATGAAGACTTGTTGCACTTCGCTCGTTCGCTCATTCGTTTATCTCTCCGGTGTTGGCGGGAATTCTCCAATTCCTCCTCGAAAGCTTGAATTTTGTGCGCTGCTGAGGCCGACGAGTTCCTTCGATCAGTTCGGCAGATGTTCGGCGTATGTAACGAGGCGTCATTAATTTGTACGGCAACTCACTTTCTGACGGCTTCTAGATGTTCTTCGAGCTCCTCTAGGGTCTCATTCCCGTCATCGATATCGCTGTGGTGCTGTTGCTGCTCCTCCGCAGGAACCTGGAATGCGGTTGCGAAATGCAAGGCCTGAAGAAAATTTTGGCGTGACGCGCTACTCGATTGGAAGCACCAAAGATGTACCCGCTGGTCACAGCGTCGACGCTGCACATCTTTCAGAGAGGAAACATGGTGAACACAAACTTCTGAACCAACGGCAAGAGCGAACAAAAGATACCAAAGAATCATTGTAACAACTCATTACTACTCTAGCCGTAATTCGTAGCGAGGAATGCAAAATGCCGCTGCCTGCAAGATCCATGTGGTCGATGACACCTGCATACACCCTGCTCTACATCAAGATGCGGCCCTCTCACTTCTTCATTTTAACTGAGAAACTCTGACATATATCCTAAATTTACGCAAAGTTTGGTCTATGTGTGGCCTATACGCTCTCTGTTTACCGCCAATGGTTTCCAACCCGAGGTTAGGTGTGACGCATAATGCCGGATCTCCACGAATGCAGCAACGCGCCAACAAAGGAGATACGATGGTGATCAAACTACGTGATGTAGGCAAAAGTGTTTGTGTTCTTGGGTGTTTTTGACTCCTGCTACCTGTGGTTTGCGTTCCGACGTCCCAGAAAAACCAACAACTGCTGTGCAACAAGGAATCGGCTGAGCCGCGATCACTGCCACCGCAACTCCCCGACTGTTCTCTCAAGGCCTGTGCAACTGGCACGCTTGAGCCACACTGTGTAGTTACCACATGGCGTGGCGGCAAACCGAAGGGCGTGCGCGTACCTGCATCCTCAACTGTAGCACACACCTCATTTACGTTGTTGCTGTTTCCCGCAGTTCCAACTTTAAAAAAACAAGCTGCAGTGGACACGTCCATGTTGCACGTCCATGTCGGCAACTTGAGCGGCGCAGCCCATCTGGCTGCTCCTACTGCGCCGCATGTGTGCAGCTACATGAAAGATGCTGCGCAGTGTTGTATACTTGTTAATATACCCTCTTGCATCACCGCTTCACCAGCTGCCTACGAACTAACATGATTCACTCGTAAGAACCGAACTAGTTAGTAGCCGTAGTTGCCGAATGAAACGAGGAATTCATCCCCCAAGTGCTCCTTAACCATCTTCGCCGTTATCGAATGATCTGCCGCCCCGTACTGATATGAATAGCCGTAGATTTCGACCTTTTTCTCCGCCCGCAGTACACTCATGCGACCACCCCCCGTCACGTCTGAGTTTGCGCAAAACAAAACAGCCACATAAACACGTCAGGACCTGCCAGTATGCGAGCAACAGGGAGCCCAAACGCTTTGAAACGTGGGCTCTACTAGCGTCCTGCGTAAAGACCCCACACTAGGCCTTGAATTTCCGGCAACCACGCAGATGGTGTGCAAGTTCAATTATCGATTCTGCAGAAACAGAAAATCCATGGAGTGCCATGCGTTGCAGCACCTCCACTCTTACCGGACATGATGTTGCGTGACTGAAGCGCGTTGAGTGTGTCCAAGGCTGTTTGGTAATGGTACTCGGCCTTTGGATCCCCGCGGACAAGGTACACATCGCCAACCATGTCATCTTGCTTTGGTATTTTTATGAGAGTGTACTTCTGTATGCCGTCACCCACAATGACTGCTTGCAGGGAGGACGAATACTCGTGCGTGCTCTGTTTGTTTCCTTCCGCAGATTCAGGAGGGTTCTTTGCTTCTCTCTGTTGCTTGCGCATCTCTACTAAGCGTTCGGTCAACGCCTGAGTGGCGAGTTCGAGCGAAGGCCGATCCAGCGGCGACGCCTCAGCGAGCTCGTCATTCAAAACCTCCAACGCTAGCTCTACCTCTTCAGGGGTTCTCTGTGAGTGTCCAGGCCTCTCCATCTTCCTAGGACAATTCACGCGAGAGAAGAGGTGCTCTTTGAAGGGAAACCTTCCGTCCACGTCCGTTTGGTCGGCAGGAGTGCGACCACCCGCTGGCTGAGTAACGTCGTCCGTGTTGTGCCCTTCTAAGCTGGTGACACACTGGATACTGAAACCCTGAGGTGTGGTACGGCAAGAAGTGGCAGCGCTCCTCTCCTTTACAGATCCGCTCTCCAACTCGACCTGAGAAGGCGCTAGAACCGAATCCTCCGCAGTTTCCTGGGCCAGTCGCTTCGTAGGAGATACTCGTAGAAACCCCCAGGAGGAACTTGGTCTTTTTTTCCGGTGGTGTTTGTTATGGCTAGAAAACGCCGCAGGAAGCATGTGCCGGTCTGCTCAGCTGCAGCGGCTGCAGTAGTCAGGAAGCACAGAGCAAACCTCCGCACGTCCCCTACGGTCCGTCTAGTATGAGACTTTCTGTATTTAATATCGTTTTTAGTAGTAAGCTAAAGAAACAGGAGAGGAGAGGAAAGTCCCAAGAAGGGAAGCACCAGTAACAAAACGCAACAGCCTGCTGTGCAAGTCAATGAATGTAGTGGGCCCCACGGGGACACACAGCTCTACCACAAAGTGTGTTTAAATATGTGCAGATAGATCAAGAACTAGGTTTCAATCAAGTCAAGATACTCCTGCCACCTGACACGCCCACGACGGAACAGGAGTCGAAGAATAATAAAGATGGCACCCTCCTACCGCTGTAGCTGCTTCTCAGTGAAAACAACACACGAAATCTCGAAGAGCTTTGAGCTTGAAATTTGGGCCTTCCAGAGTCTTTTAGATTATATTTTAGGTTTTGTGGAAGCCTTATCGGGAGACTATCAAACATTCATCGAGTAACGACACTAAGACGTTAGTGAGTTTCTCGCTGTGACGGCCTTTGACGTCCTCAGCTTATGCGCAGCAGGAAACGTTACTAAAAGCAGTACTTCCACTGATAATGCCGAACAGAGTAGCACCGAGGAACATGTTTGTCTTGGATCACAGGGCGGCTCTGGCAGGAGCAATCAGTGCAAACAGAAGACATGCGGCGGAGCCGTTTCTTTTTTAAATGAAACAGCATTTCTTCATTCTGCAGGGCCCTTATTAGTGGCAGTGGAGTATCTGAAGGACGCTGAGCATCTTGGAGTAGCGTGAGTTCACAGCAGCTCGGCCCAGTAACTCTAGTTACTGGGTAGGGCAAATGAAAGACCTAATGTACAATGAACTGCCATCCACAAGCCATCTGTGAAATGCGCTACAACTGCAGCAGCAATGTGCTTCAGAATTACACAGTTAAAAGGCCTTGTGTCCTAAAGTTGGTAACCAAGTGGTAGCTAGTGAATTGAAAATGTTCATTTTGTAGGTTTGTGTAAGTGAGAAGAGATCATTCTTCATCTCCAGCCAGAAAATACTCGTGTTGATTTGCGCCGTTAGTACAACGAGATTTTCCCGAAGCTCACAGATGTACTGGGTGCCAAGTGGTACTCAGCAGGATGTGCTGAGTTCGGCAAAATGCCACAACTCAAGATCCCCCATATGAGATCCTGCATTCTGCTGCCTGTTTATTGTTAACATCACCTTGAGGAGCTATCAACGCTGCCATTTGAAACCTATAGCCACACCTTCGACATAACAGGCTCCTATTCTGTTACAGAAAGGTCCTTCTATTTAACTATGAAAGAAAAAGCGAGGCGCTTTTAGTGTACTGTACGCCTTCACCGTTTACAAGCACTTTCAAATTAAAACGAGGCATTTTCAATGTACTGTGCACTTGCACGGTTAACAGCCACTTCGGCTCTACACGCATAAAACTGGTCTCTGTCTGTACGCAGGCAAGACTTGGATCTGGAAGTGTTGGTTCCCTTTCAGACGTCTAGGCGAGGCATAGTCCTGCCCTGCTGTGCATTTTACCCTGCACCTATTTACACTGAATGGTCTTCTTCCGAGTTCTCCAGCTGCGAAACATTTGCTTTTGCCTTCTCTGTGTTTGTCAAGCATGACAGCTTGCCAACGTGTGCAGTCCATAGGCAGCCAAGCCAGCCGTTTACTTCTCTGGTAGTGTTGGTTGGGCACGCCTATTAGACTTAGTGGCACAGCGAAATTAACATCCTTGAGCCTAAAGAAAACACTAAGACGTTTCATACTCGAAATCCTTTAAGGCGGATACTTTTCTTTGAGAAGTTGCGAAATCAGTATTGTGGGGAGGCCCACTGCAATCTATCATTTTTCTGTATCCGAGAATCTGTACATCGGGGCCAAGGGATTTTTGGCTTTTTGCTTCTAGAAAATGCGGCGATTCGAAGTCCTTAAGCTGCTTGCAATTTGCACAACGGATTGTCGCTTAGCGTGGCTGTTGAATTAGATATCTCCTGCACTTGCAAAGTGCTGTAGATATCGTTGCGATTATTCCACGTCTCACTTTGTTTTGTTGAGTTAGTTCAAATGGGGAAGCTTAAAACAAAGCTGCCAGGTAGTTGGCCTAACTGGTAAGGGACGAAACTTGTACAACGGCCGGAACCCTGACTGGGCACAACTCTGCACAATTCATTGTCCAACAATTATCTGTCCCTCCGCTCCTACGAGCTGTTCTTTCGTCAGTCATCGACATTTATGAAGTGTGAATGACACTTACTGACGACGTAACCCCAGCTTGATACATCTTAATACAGCTGTGCGGCTAGGAAAGCTTCTTTTCCCGAGGACAAAAAGTACGGAAAGGGCCCGTTGATCAAAGTGGAAGCGGCTCGCTCTTTTGCTGCTTCCTTAATTGTTTGTTTACATTAGACACAATATATAAATTTAATCCATCAATGTGACCCTTAAATAAACTTAGGGCATCTTCTAGTTTCATTTTCGGAACTGAATCGTTTAAGCTTCATCACTGCTTGCAAAATTGAAATTTTCATGAAGAGTCTAACCACTTACAATTTTTGGACCAGCACGAAAAACAAAAAAGCAACAAAAATTGTTTCCTTACACATCATTCAGTGTCGTTGGCGCTTAGAGACAGTGCGTCACTATGCAGCCAGTTACGGGTTCTACGGAAGAGCAAAGCTAGGCCTACTTCATTACAACTCTATGCCGTTCGGTGAAATCCATAATTCTACGTACACTTATGTAGGTAAATTAACTCTATTGAGCCATGGTGCAATTAGCATCTCACCTATCAGAGTTGCGCTCTGGCAGAACCGACAGAACCGACAGAACCGGGGAGTGATTGGCAAACAAGGCACAACCCCTCTTGGAATGTCCTGTGCACGAAGATCCAGTACAGCAGGGCGTAAGACGGCTCCTGTGCACATACCATTAGACCATCAAGATTCGAGAGGAATTCCGCAGAAGGAGCCCCTCATGAAAGAAGCACCAGAATTTGTAAAGCACGTGCACCGAACGAAGCGAATCGCCCACTTGGGGCGAAAGGTAGCACACGTACGCTGATAGCTTGTGGCGCGATTGAGCTTGGCATGACAATCATCAGCAGTCTTGCACCCAATCGTACTTCAGAACAGATGCAATATGCAGATCTCCCTCAGCTTGATTGAGACAAAGTTAACAAAACTACTCCTCGGCATGCGCTGTTGGGGAGAAGAGTTTGAGAAATATTTAGGCGATGCTCTGGTGCATCGGGCTTTTTTGGAAGCTATAGGAGTGCACCTGGCAGGTTGTGCACGCTTGAAGCGTGAAGCACTCCAGCAACTTTGGGATACACGTCGTTTGGCTTTTATCCGCCAGTGCAGGGGGACGGCTAGGTGTGCTGCTAATTGACGTGTATTTGCGCAAGGAATGGGGATGCAAGCAGGAAAATTGTTATACTCGTTTTTAGTCAATCTGCCAGTCAAGCTGTGCAGGGCCCAAACTAAAGGTGCTACCACTGATTTCAAGAATTGGAGAGAATTGCAGGCAGAAGCAGCGGACTTGGAAGGCTCATGGGCGGCTAAAGAAAGTGCAGAAGAGGCGGTAACATGAATAGCGCTCAGCTTGGGCGCGGGCAAT